GATGGCACAGAGTCACGTGTATGTCAACGTCCCCGCTCGTGACGTCGACGCGTTCAAACTCAGACCTTACGTTTATTTGGCCAACCGCGGCTGTAGTGTGTGTTGGTTCCCCTATTCTCTACGGGCACATGGTGTAGTTGGTTTATCACGCTCGCTTCGCATTGCACATGTGAGTGGGCATCTGAATGTTTCTGCGAGAGGTGTCCGGTTCAATTCCGGATGTGTCCAAAGCTTTTTTTCCTTGTATCAAGCTGTAATTTGTAAATACGTAGTAGTAAGCACTGAGCATGCCAGTGAGTAGTACAGTTAGTACTGAGTCCGAGTCCGAGTCTGTACATCGGACATTCGCGATGCTACTTACAATTTACAGAGTTTCGGAATAACTTGAACTAGGTTTCTGAGGCCTGAGTACGGATACCGCGTCCTGTTTCAGCCTCGGCGCGCCAGTTATCTCCCGCTGCAATCTGCTGAAGGAGACCCAGTCATACACGAGACCACGCATATCTCACAGGAGCGAAGGTATGTATATATGCTCGCGCATACCATTCAGAACCCAAACAGCCACAGTCCCGCGTCCATGCGCGAGTACGCGGCCCGCCCCCATTCGTCCCACTGCACCATCTGCGCCACCGCCTTGAGCCACCCGATCTGCAACGGCGACACAGCGCACTCGGCGATCTTCAGAAGCTTGAGCCCCACGCCCGCCGCACGGCGCTTCTTCAGGACCTCCGCGAGGGCGCCGCCGGCGTCGTACTGATACGGCAGGTCGCGGTCATACGCCGCCATCAGGTCCACAGCGACGAGCGTGAACGAGACGAGGTTGAGGAGGGGAAACGGGGGCTCCGCGGACGCGATCGCGCGCGACAGCGCGAGGCCCGCCGAGCCCTTTCCGAGCAGGTGCTCGACGCTCGGACAGCCCCTCACGATCTCCGCGCCTTCGTCCTCCGACCACACGCGATGGCCCATCGTCACCGCCAGCGCGCGCAGCTTGTGCAGCGGCAGCGCGCGCACGATCCGCTGCACCACGCTCAGGTCCTGGGGAATGGGGACGGCCGCGGGCCACGCCAGCGCGAGTTCGATGGCGGGCGTCGCCTCGAGCGCGTACGACGCCAGGTTCTCCGTGACGAGGCACGCGTTCCAGCCTGTGGCGTGCAGCGTCGGAGGGAGGGACGTCGAGGACAGGACGAGGGTTTGAACCCCTTCGGCGTTCGCAGGCTCCGGCCCCGCGCCGAGGCGAAGGTGCGAGGCCACCCAATCCAGGAGGTGGTGAAACTCGACGTCGGTCGGGAGACGCGTGCTACAGTGCAGGTCGAGCGCGGTGGAGGAGGGAAGAACGAGGTGGCGCAGAAGGCGCGTGCAGTCGTGCACGGTGCCTTCCAGGCCGAGCAGGCTCAGGTGGGGAAGCGGCGCGGCGGGCACGTCCCCCGGCGGATCGAGCCGGTCAGGCAGGCAGTTCTTGAGCACCAGGCTTTGGAGGTGCGGCAGGTTGCGCAGAACGTCGAGGAAGCGCGAGAGGGTGGTGGACGCAGAGTCGGCGGTCTCGGGAGCGACGGCGTCCGGACCCGATCCTGGCTGTGGAGGCGCGCCTGACGCGGGATTGGACAGATTGACGGGGGAGGTGACGTGAAGGTGTTCGAGCCCGTGGAAGAGGGAAGATGACCAGAGGAATCGGAATCCATTTAGGAGAACCCGGCGGAGACGGGGGGTGTGGGTGGCGAAAAGGGCGAACGGAAGGGTCAAGGCTTCGATGCTGGCAAGGCTCGTGAGACTCAGCCCCTCAAGGAGCGGCGCAGGCCCTGTGAATGACTTGACGAGACGCTGCATGGTGGCATACGGCGCCCGCAGTTTGAGCTGTTGGATGTGAGACATGTGACCGGCCAACATAGTTTTCTCGTCAGGAGGAGGCCGGGTGCCCGCGTCCGCGGGTACTGCATGCTGCGCGTTTCGAGGAGAGAGGGCGGGCGGGATGTCGCGTTCGAAGACGATGGGCGCCGCCCTCGAGCGGACGAGCATTTCTTCGACCCAGCGATTTCCGAGCGCGAAGCAGATCTCCGTCCACAGGCACGGCTGGTCCAACGCAAGCTGCCTCCAATGTCGGCAGACGTGCGTGACCGTGATCCACCCAAGCTGCACCTGGGACATCGACGGCGGATCCGCCTCCTCGTCTTTATCGTCCCAAACATAGTTGTCCGACCCTGGCGGCTGGTTGATAGCGTGTATGGAGAAGATTCGGGACAAAACTTCGGGGGGGAGACGCGAGATGGAGGCCAACGCGTTGCGGCGCGTTTTGAACGCGCAGAGAACGTCGTAGACGGCTGCGAGCTCGCGGTCGACGTCCCGACGACTGTCCGCGCGTGCTTCGACGACATGCCTCTGCGATAAGGAGCAGTCATATGAGTGCAGGCGGGGACGTGCGGCAGCATTCCAATACGCAGCGATGCCGTCGACGCTCGAACTGTATAGATTATCGAAGCTGTAGGATGTTCCGTTCATCCAAGGGACGGCGAGCTGACCTTTCCATAGGTGTGGCGGAGCGGGTTTGGTTTGTATTGCGTTCGTCCGAATCGTGTATGCCCTGTCCGGGAAATTGGCTGAAGAAAGTGTCTCACAAGTATGTTGCCGCGGCACTGCGGCGGCGGACCCTACTGATTAGCAGCGATCTTCCCGGCGGCGAGCTGTGACAGGGAGACGTACGGCTTCTGTAAGACTTTATATATGACGACAAGTGAATAGAGCTGAGTCGCAACGCGGTGGTGGGAGGTCCGGGGGAGGCTGTGGTCTGAGAGAAGGAAAGAAAGTGGACAAATTTGAAAAACGCCCCACGTTTTTATTAGTCACCTGACACGTGATTGCTCATGGCTCATGGCACTGTGGCCAGGCTGTCCAATGTGACTGTCTCTCTCGAGTCTCCACGTCGCTCGTTCTCGAGTCGAATGCCAGCGGTGAATGCGTACGTCTCCTACATCGCTTAATGCACGAGTACTACTATGAGGAAACTGATAGACAATATGTATAGCTCTCTATCAAGAATAGGTCTCCGTATCGATCCCCCGACCAGTCTCGCTCTCCCGATTCAACCTGTATCTCCATCGCGTGCTATTCTCTTCTTCAGAAGATCGTTATCCCCAGATGGTCCTGCATCTTCCTCGGAGCGACCAACAAGATGCCGATGGTCATGAGCTCATAGGGTGCGTTGAAACGTCTTCCAGACGGTGCGCTCATCTGCCTCGTATTAACCCCCGGCTGTTCCCATTTCTTCCCCCGTTCATGACGGTGCGATTCTTTCACAGTATTCTCGGAGAGAACACTGAGGTACGCACCGTTTACACGTGGACCGGCGAGGGCGAACGGTGGTTGTGTACGAAGGACGGCGGGCGGGGAATGTTCTTGCATCAGTTCTGGCTTTCGGAGGCCCGCGAGGGAAGCGCGACTTGGATAACAACGCGGACCGACTCCTCCCGTCCCAGCATCGTGGTGCCAGGTCTCCCGCCCGACCGCGTGTGCTCAAGCGCCCATCGTGCGATGGACAAGGTTCCCGCGTAACGCCCTTCTCCCTATCACGAACGCCTATCTTGGATAACTGAACTTCTATTCTCAGACGCCAGCCTCCCACGCGGCAATCCCTGCGCGGAGCCCGCCGATGTTCCCTACTACATTGCCCCGCACACGGAGTGGGAACAAGCTTACGATTCGGAGCGCGGTGTCGGGACGCTGAGGTTTGAACTGTTTCAATGAGCGAATCGACGTCGATCGGGCGATGGTAGGTGCATCGGGGTCCTATCTGGATAAGGGGAAGCTCATCCCATACGAGGGACGGGTACGTGCGATTGGTACATCGCTCTTTCGCCGCGTGAGATTGACCCGTTTCTATCCTCGTCTCCCAGGCCGCAGCGCCGATCGCCATATATTATTGCTGTATCGTATAGGCTCCAAGGCTTGGGGGTGCGGTTTGCCCCCCTGCTTCTTGCAGAAGCCTGTCTGCAACCAAGAAAGACGAGGTCTGATGCTGTCGGAGAGCAAAGGAGCATCGCCAGTCGTCATGATTCCAGTGAGCTCCCACGGAGTCTCCCACCCCCGCCAAATCTTTCTGGCCCCTACCGCCGTGTCGGCCGCCAGCGTCTAAGAATACGACGACGGGCATGCCGATGCCGCGGCGGATTTTCGTACTTATGGCTGTTGTGCGGCCACGGTCCTAGGCTTTGCTTTCTTCAACTGTGGTTTCCTCTGACAACACGTTTTTCGAACGACGCGGTGGATCACATCTCAGATAGACCGCCGAAACGTCAAGACACCATCGACACGCACCTCGGAGGGCCATGGGGTCTGGTGGTTCGGGGGAGTCTATTGCTCCCTTTTGCTCCAAGACTGCCCAGAAATGGATAGAGTAAGTACAGAATGGAATTGAATGTCATTTTCGCATCTCGGAGCGACAGGGAGACGCCCGGGCGAAGAAGGCATCACAGCGTTCCATCATGTTCGTGTGACGGCAGCGCCCTCGCCGCTTCTGAGAGTGTAACTGCAGAGTATATAGCTTCGAAGGCCCTGGGTGTCCTCTTGCGCCCGCCCTCTTCCTCTTCCCCTTCCCCTTCCCGACCATGACCTCCACGATGCAATACTTCGACCCTCAAGACCCCGTATGGAACGACGACCCGTATCGTCGATCCTCGCATGGCTACCCTTCTCACAATTTCGCCTCCTCTGCTCCGTCCAACTACTCGAACCCCCACTGGTCTGCGCAACAGCAACCTGCGTATGCCTACGATGCGATCTCCGATCCAGGTTCGCAGGCGTACGAGGCTGAGCTTCAAAACATGTATCTCAACTCGAGTTTCGGCCCCATGGCCCCCGATCCCGATTCAAGCGTTAGCGTTTACGAGCCCACGTACGCCTCGGCGAACAACTACGGTGCGTCATGCGGGGTGTTTCGGACAGACTACCCCGTCTGACGATCTTGCGCGTGTCGCGCGCATAGCCTCGAGCTTACCCTCGAACGACGGATACTTCCCGTCTGACCCGTTCTATGGCGCCTCGCAGGCCTACCCGGCGGCATTCCAAACCTCCCCCGTCGACACATCCTCAGCGTCTTCGATGTCCTGCCCTACCCCCGATCCCCCAATGCATCCGGGGCTCGCTCCGACAATAGCCCCACAATCTCCGCCGTTCGATGACGTTCCTGGGTTCTTTCCCATCCAAGCTCAACTTGGCCACGGTGGCCCGGATCCCGCCAG